TGAAGTTACAACGGCAGTGAAACAAGTGTGATGACCCGTAGTCTCTCAAAATAACCCCAAACCCAAAACATATATTAAAGTCCGGTAAGGCCTTCAACTTAACTTCACTGTTTTATTAGGCACAGTTTAAAGTCACAAAAGTAAATAATGCGGCAAACAGAAAACCCAAACAAACCGCATTGAGGAGAGTTCCGAAGCAAGCCAAGATAATTAATCATAAACTCCAGGAAAATAACCGAGGAGAGTCCATGGGAAGAACGCCAGCAAAGATAAACCTCTTTCAGAGTAAACACTAAACTTTGACTCCAGCAATTCTGATGGCGCAGTTACAAACTTATATACATAGCTCCCAGCTGCAAGCCACTAGGAGGATCATGGTAATCTCCTCTCGAGTAGACCTCGCTTTTCCCTGATCCTCTCCTCCCTGCGTGACCTAGGATGGATAGGGGATGGGCCTGGATCCTCCTCTGACTGCTCAGCCGGCCTCCGCCCTTCCCCAGCCTCCTCCACCACCTCTGGAGCCACACTCCCACTCCCTGTTGGCTGTTCCTCCTCTTCCTCAGAGTCAGTCTCCACCAGGGGCATGACAACAAGTGACCTTTCACACTTATGACCATTGTAGTATCCCCATGGTCACGTGATCAAAATTCGGATGCTTGGCCACTGACTCATGGTTATGATGGTTGTGTGAATGATCCGAGGCGTGGCACAAAGGCAACACAATCAGACAATCAGTAGGAGTCCCTTTATTAGCTCCAAGTTTGCCCCCAGTGTCCTGGTTACCTTCTGGGCTGGAGAAAAACTCTCCCAGGAACAGCCTTGGGCTGCAGAGATTCAAGTCCAAAACATGATCAACAAAAACTGTAACTATAAGTCCAATCAAGGCAAGATGAGGTAATTAGTACGGCAGGGCAGAAGCAAGAATTCCAGAAATGAAGGAACGGTAGTAATTCAACATGGTTGGGAGGATGCCAGGAATGCAGATAACCAAAGTCAACACAAGATAAACTCATGTTTGTTCCCAGCAGTTGCTGCACTCAGCATGCATCTCTTTTAAACTCTCTTCCTTGTGGCTAATGAAGGGAATCAGGGCCCTTTCCTCCCCCATAAGCCACGCAACCCATGTTGCTCCCTTCTCCATTCCTCCCTGTGTGCCCTAGGATGAAGAGGGGGTGGGCCTGGGCCTTCCTCTGAACTCCTTCTCCCTTGTTCTACCTCTCTCCTGCTCTGCCCAACCGGACTTTTCTCTTCCCCAGCTCCCTCCAAATCCAATGGAGCCACTCTCCCACTCCCTGTCAGCTGTTTGTCTTCCTCCTCGGATTCAGACTCTGACAGGGACATGACAGGTTGCAGTGACCTGGGAGGGTCATGTAATCCTCTTTTGCGACCTTCTGATAAGCGAAGTCATGGGGAAACCAGATTCCCTCAACGACTGTGTATTAACTTCACAACCACAGTGGTTCACTTAACAACTGTGGCAAGACATATCATAAAATGGGGTGAAACCCATTACCGTCTTGCTTAGCAACAGAAATATTGGCCTCCGTTCCCATCATAAGTCGAGAGCCACCGGGATAGCAGATTCTGATGCCAGATTGCTAGACTGCCAGATAACATTTAGAAAAAGATTTAACGAAACCGATTTAATCAAATTGATAATACTTCTGTGAGTCAACCCTGGACATGTTTGCATTTCTGGAACATTTGCAATGGACGCTATTCAAGGCAGGAATAATTGAAAAAAAATTGTGCATGTACAGTAATGCATAAACTTCCACACACACACACACAAAAACCCAACCCCAAAACCCATCTATATCAAGGCAACTACGTTTTGGAAGGGGGAATTGATTTTTTCAATTTTAAATTGCAGTTTATTCTGTGGTTATTGACATAGTTAATATGTTATAAGTAAGCCAATCCTTTTCTCTGTGCTTTTTTTAAAGTCATAAAGCACTTAGTGTAATCTAGTACAATTTAGGGAATAAATGGCAATGTTTTTCCAACGGCATAAGAATGATAAATTGATTTAGCAGCTTAGTATTTATTTTATAGTAAGGGAAGGGCTTTGGATTCTGAAAGAGAAGGAAATGTATTTTCCAAAAGAAAGACAATTTCCTTTAGGAGAGTTGGTGGAAAGGGTGCCAATGGGGATCCATATTTGAAAGTAGATCCTTTTTCACAGCTTTGATGGATGGTGAAGATCGTCAACTACAGGCACTCCCCGACTTACAACAGTTCATTTAGTGACCATTCAAAGTTACATCGCTGGAAAAAGTGACTTATGACCGTTTTTTTCACACTGAAGACTATAGTGTCAACTCGTAAAGCATTCCTGGACTGCTCCTGAGCTCCCATAGGCAGGAGGGGGGAGGACCTCGGTTGCTATGACCACAAGCACATTCCATGCATTTCTTCCCCCAGATTGTATCCCAGGTTACCAGAGCAAGCCGGAGAGGCGTGTTTTCTACAGCCCACGAAAGTGCTCCAGTTGGAGAATGTGATTTATGACACACCCTGGGAGGAAGGGGGAACAAGGTCATAGGTGGGGCAGTAAATTACGTAGGGCAGAGCCGACTACACTTGAGAAAAGTGCCGAAGTGTTGCTCCTAATAAATCATTGGATTTATTTTGAAACATGGTTTGAGGGTCATGAATTAATTAGGGCGTCCATTGGAACCCTGACACATTGCAGAGTCCCCATGGCCACATGATGAAAATTTGAATGATGAGCAACTGGTTCATATTTATGACTGTTACAGGGGTCCAGGATCATGTGATCCCCTTTTCGATTCTAACATTTTTATTTGGTTATAAGATATTATAAAATATTTCTGATAAGCAAAATCAACAGGGAAGACAGATTCAATCAACCACCCTAACATACTAACTTATCAGCCACAGTGATTCACTTAACAACTGTTGCAGGAACAGTCGTAAAATGGGATGAAATTCACTTTAACAACTGTTTCACTTTGCAACAGAAATTTTGAGCTCCGTTGTGGAACTACCTGTACTGACAATATTGTATATTGTCCTCTGTCTAGATTAGTGTTTCTCATTCGTGGCAACTTTAAGGTGGGTGGATTTCAACTCCTGGAATTCCCTAGCCAGCATTGCTGGCTGGAGAATTCTGGGAGTTGAATATACATATATATTCAAATTCAACTCCCAGATTTCTCCAGCCAGCAATGCTATCTATCTATCTATCTATCTATCTATCTATCTATCTATCTATCTA